CTCTGCATTGTTCTCTACCATGGTACGGATATAGATTGGGTGTTTTCGAACCACAAACATCCCCGAAGTAAGCTGTGTGGGGGGGGGGATGCGGGGAGTTGAAGTCCACCCATCTTAAAGTTGCCAAGGTTGAGAAACACTGGCCTAGTCACTCTCTCTCAGGCCAACCCACCACACAGGGTTGTAGTTGTAGAGAAAACGGGGTGGAAGATTAGGTATGTATGTTGCCTTGAGCTGATTAAAAATAAACTCAAGGATAACAATCTAATAATAAAATTTAAAAAATGGTGGTGGTTCTTGAAAATATGGATTAGGCATCGAAGAAAACCAGAGATGGTACTCCAGGAGGATCATGAGGATCATGCCTTGGTGCCTTGATGAGGATTCATCTCAGAGCTGAATTAAAACACATTTCTGTGGGGTGCCAAGACAAAGGAACACCAAGCTGGTGTTCAAACTCAGAGCATTTATAGACTTTTAAACAACAAATACACACTGGTTTGGGCTGGGGCAGAAGAACAGAGAGACTCACCGTCTGACCTCAACAAAATACACATAATCTCAGGGTGGTCCCTGACTATGTGACTGAATTAAAGCTACAAAGAGCACATGGTTTATGTACGTGTTTATGTTTAGAATACAATAAGATTCAGACGAGGATCAGAGCAGGACAAGATTCTACCCTGAAATATATCACTGCCGGATTTTACAAATAATAATCATCTTTCTAGGAAGACATTGTTCATTATCTAAATTCTGTAGCCTTCCAACAAGAAAGTTTACATGTATCTTATGATTTATGGTTTTGATGATTAAACAGAATAGACTATAGAAAGACAGATATGATGTAACCACCGAGTAAGAGGTAAACTTATAATTGTACTTATAACTGCTGTAAAGAAAATTGGAGCCACTTCTTTGAATCTTTCTTTTACTTTTTCTTTCCTTTCTTTTTCCTTTCTTGCACTTCTCTTTGATTTTCTTTTCTACTCCTTCCTTTATATTAGTTTGTGTTAGTTTTTATATTCTTTTTAAAAACCTTTAAATTTTACATGTGAGTTTACATGTAAGATGCCAGCTTGACCAAGGATCCTCCCTGATGATTGTAACTGCTGGTTGGGCAGTTACTTGGCAGTTAGACAAGCATTTGCACGTATCTGCTATTTAATGAAGCTCCCTTTAATTTAATCGACTGAGGAAGCACACTGAAAATGTAGATCTGGGTTTTCTTGTTCCTGAAAGTTTCCAAAGGTTTAGCTCTGCTAATTTTTCTGGGACAAAATGAGTTTTGAACCAAGGTGCCAGGGCTAACATAAACAGAAATACAGAGCAAATCCACACGTAGAGAGCCAGCATGGCTGAGCACCTTAAAACAAAATGAAATTTGGGTTTTTTTTATCTTGCTGCCCTCAAGTCTATCATCGATACAAAACTTTTTAAAGCGACCTTCCTTTAAAACGACCATCCAACCAGTGCAACCTGACCCAAAATGCACAATGGCTTTTTTAAGAGAAATATTTGCAGAAAGGTTTCTGCCTAACAGTGTCCTTAATGAGCCGCAAGGATGTCAAAAGGACCTTTGCAAAGCCCACTTGGTTTCACTGCACTCCATGGGCAGAATGATTTATCCTCAGCTAACCTTCTCGCTCGCTCGAGTGGGAGTCCTCTTACTTTTCGACAAGAAACTCCTTGTCACCTATGACTGGCTGCCAAGAACTCAAATAACTGGATCTTTGTCCCGAATGAAATGATGCAATGAAGGATTGCAAGGTGAAAGAGAGAGACATTGAGTACAGGTAGTCCTCGCTTAATTGGGACCGGAATTTTCATCGCTTGGCGATGTGGCTGTAAAGCACGACGTCATGTGACCGCATTGCTAGGTGATGGCAATCCGGCACTCGGTTGCCGTTAAGTGAGGATTGCGGGTTGTTAAGCGAGGACCTCCTCGTGACTTCACCCTGGCTTCCCACAAGCAAAGCCAACAGGGAAACTGGCAGGAAGTCATAAATCCCAGGCAGCTTGCAAACAGGCTAGTGGACAGGTAAGTGGCGGCTGCAGTACAAGGGCAGCGGGGCCAGGGTTGGCTGCTGATGGGTGGGGAGGGTTAGGGTTACACACTACAGAGTACAAGATCCCCAGGAGAAAGACCCGCGGGAATACAAGTGACTTGCAAGAGCATCTTGTGACCTGCCCTGCTGGCTTCCCCATTGACTTTGGGAAACTGGCAGGGAAGATCACAAATGGCGATCACATGACCGTGGGGCACTGCAACGGTCGTAAGTGTGAGCTGGTTGCCAAGCACCCAGATCACAATCACATGATACTCGGACAGCTGGAGCTTCAAGGACCGGTTGTAAGTACCACTGGTTCAGTGCCATCATAACTTTGAACACTTGATGAATTGAGTGGTCGTTAAGCAAGGACTACCTTTATGAGCAAGAATTCCAATATCCCAGGGTTAGGGACTAGGTTAAAGGACCACATCCTTTTTTTAGAAAATGATATGCAAATATATATTTTTTGTGATTTTCTATAAAATTACATAGTAATTACCAGATGTTATCATGGAATGCCAGACTGACCTTATCTTGTTTGCTGATCAGATGATTTAGCTGATTATGGGAATGCTGTAGATGTAATATAACTTGATTTCAGCAAAGCCCCTTTCGATATTCTGAACAGCGAGTTATTTAAATTTGGATTGAATAGAAAGACATTTAAGGAGATATACAGCTGAAAAACATACTCAAGGGGTGCTTGTTAGTAGTTCCTTGTCAAACTGGAGTGAGGAGATGTTTTAATTTGGATTCCTGCAACTTATTAGAAGTTTGGCTCGATGCTCTGAAAGGCTCCTTCCAACTATATGATTTTATAACCAGTGAAGCAATAGATTTATTTCAAATTACACTGCTGATTAAAAGAAAAAAGAAAAATGGATATAAATGACCCCCCAACCTTGGTACTTATTCAAACGGAGGGAAAACCCAACAGTTGCCTGATTCACCTATTGCCCAATGACGTTCCTAAACTAACTGCATATCATTCACTCAGTCACAATAACAACTTAGTGCAATGTGTGAATCACAGTGTAGCGGTCAAGGATAATTGGGCACACATAAATATACTGTAGGTAATCAGTAAAGAAAAGAACTGTTTTTTTGTGTTGGGAAAACACCCTCCCAAGTTGACAAAGCGAGGTTTCACTATTTACATTCAGAAGATGGGTTTAATGAGTCACACAGAAAACGGTTCTGGAGGAGATGTCACCCTGTGGCAGCCCATCCCTGCGAGAGAAGCCAAGCTGTCATTTGAGACCATGTTTACAAAATGCCCCACAGTGATTCACTCAGGCAGGAAGAGGCTAGATTAGCAGAAGAGAAGCAGACC